CTGCTTCTCCCTCTGACCCTCCCCGCTCTCATGTGCTCTCTCTCATTCTCTCTCTCTCAAATAAATAAATAAAATCTTTAAAAAAAAAAGTTGAACTTTAAAAATAAAAATAACAAAATAAAAGCAATGATTTTTTAAAAGTTATTATTGAAACATATACAGAATAGTATGATAAACTCCCAAGGACCCCATCGCCCAGTGTCAGGAATAACCAAGCTAGTTTCATCTTTATCACATTCTCTTCCCCCTTTCTAATCTTATCATTTCATTCATAAATATTTCAGTTTGTCTCCAAAAGATAATGGTTCTTATTTTATACATAACCATAGTATAATGATCACACTGGCAAATAATTGATAATTTCATAATATCATCAAATATTCTGTTGGTGTTCAAGTTTCACATTTTAAACATTTCTTTCAGTCAGGATCAAAAAAGGCCACACTTCTTTTCCCTCCTTTTTTTTTCAATGTTATTTATTTGTTGAAGAACCTGGGACATTTGTTCTGTCGTTTCCCACATTCTGGATTTTGTTGAGTGCATTCCTGTTGTGTTGTTCAATAGATTCTTCTCTTCTGTATTTCCTATAGAAGGTAGTTAAATTTTGAGGCTTGTTATGATACAGTCTAACCCCCCCTTTTTTTTCTTTTCAAAATTACTTCATGAGTAGTAGTGTGTAATTTCATCAGGAGGTACAAAATGCCTAAGTGGCTTTTTTTTTTTTTTTCTATTAATAGCAGCCATTGGTGATCATTGCCTACTTATTTTTAAGGTTTGGCAAAAACATGTTATGCATGCTGTATTATCCTGTAGAAAGAGAAATTTACCTTATTAACTATTTTGGGTACTATAGTAGTTCATATAGGAAAGACAGGTTAAATCCTCAATTTTTTCCTTTACCAGTTTTCAGAGTTTGAGTATGAATTAGCTTTCTACTATCTTCTAAAGGTGACCACTGTTTTTTTTATTATTATTTATTATAATATATTATAGTTATTTAATAATTACTTATTATTATTAAGTACTTATTACTTATTATTTAATATTTGGTATGTTTCAGCCCATTGCAGTTACTTTTCTCATGAAAGTGGCTATCCTTACTGAAAGGAAGCTTCTTCAAGTTGGTTCTGAGTTCTTTTTGACAACTTTTCTTTCTAATATGGTAATGCTTCTGGATTATTTAATAAATCTCCTGACTCAAACTACCAGAAGCCATTTCTCAAAGGAGGCTTTGTTCCTTTTAGTGGCAAATGATATTTAGAGACCAAAATGAGGGTTCAAGGGTGATCATTGCTACTTGTTTCCAGGTCTTTTCATTGGACAGCTAGGACTTTTTTAAAAAAAGTAAA